AAATTTGAATCCAATGATATAATATCATTGTGTAAGATAAACGAGATGAATCCAAAATACAAGATTCCTTATAAGATTATCTATATACCTTTATCAAGAAATAAATGTCTATAAGAAAGTCAAATTAAATTTTTATGACCGTTTGAAATTCAAATTTTTACAACACTGGATATTCACTCGATTTCTTATGTAGCGATTTCCTTATTTTGTTGTAATTCAAAAACGAATAACTGTAGATACATGAAAATTTCACTGAATGTTATACTAGCAGTTCCTTTACACCATACAATTTTGAAAATATTTTGACGTTTTTTGAGCTGTTTACGGACATTTTCAGTTTTCAAATATTTAGTTTTTTTTTCTATAAATATCAATAAAGTTTTATCTGTTGGGCCGAAAAGTGTAAACATTTAATACAAGGCTTCTTGTATATTGTTACAATATCAGTTGAAAAATATTAAAAATATATTGGGAACAATTTTTTTTTATAAGCATTTAAAGATCGAATTTTGACAAAATGTATGAAATTTAAAATTGAATAATTATTTTGTAGTTAAATATTTTTAAAATGTTCAACTTTTATTTCTAAGGATTAAAAATTTAAAACAAGATTCCACGTAAGTAGTTAATTCTGTAACCAAAAAATCTAAAAATACATAGACATAGTTTATTTTTATAGTAATTTTAAGTTCAAATTTAATCAAAATTACATAATGTTTAGAATAACTATTTTGGTTATTTTGTTGTGATTGTATAATATTATTCCTTTATACTTGAAACTTCAAAAGTACACTATTATATATCTATGATAGTATCAGAATTTGTTGTTGATGTATAACGCGTTATAAGTACCTAATGGATATTGCGATATGATTAATTTGGAATTTATTATAGATCAATTTTTTTTTCATACCATAGATAAGTATAAATTTGTCTTATACCTAGACTGACATCCGTCTCCGCTCAGAATCGTTTTTCTTGTACAATGATATTATATCATTGAATTCAAATTTAATACCATCCATTATACAGTGACCCAGTTGTAACCTACTGTACAGCAGAGCACCTATTTAAATAATATATTTTAGCTGTTTTGAACATTCGCTATTATGGCTTTTAGCTATTTTATACTTAGCTATTTTGCAGTCGCTATTTTGACATTCCAGAGGGTATCGCGCGTCAACGACGACCGAGCGCGCTACGCCAGCTGACCCGTATAGCCGCGGGTGGTCGGAGAACATGCGCGGGTGACTTACCACCGCACACGTTTTCGTCCAACTCCTTTCTATCTGCGCCTCCAAGAATCGGTTTTTGTCCTTAGGCTCCAACTCTGGGATCTCATCGTCGCTACTTGCAGTAGTAGCGACCGTATCAATGGCAGACAGAAGAAGAGTAACTAAACGCAAGAGGTATTCGTCGCTTTCGTAAGCGTAAGTGCCTTCCATTATGTTGACTACAATGGCTTCTAAGATTTCAAGTAATATGACGTTTACCACGTCGCGGTCGATGTTATAATAGTTAGTAGCCATCTTTTATTTTTTGAGAGAAGATAATATGTACGTGCACGTTAGAATTTAATTGAGAATTAGTAATGAGCTAAATACAAATATTCCAACGCAGAGACCGATCTCCTAGAAATCTAGTTTGTTTATCTTTCTCGTCGGCCCGCAGCATTAGAAGAATATCGAGCCCTTGATTTTTTCTAAAGACCATTATTATTAGGTAGGTATTGTCAGTATTGATATAATATTATTGTACCTAATATTTTAACAAGAATAGTTTCTGGTATTACGATTTGTATATTTATTCTGTGACTCGATTTATACTTTTAGGTGATCTCTTATATATGTTAAGGGCAAAGTAGGAAATTGAGCATTGTCCAATTAGATTTGGGCACTGTAGGTAATATTGAATACATTAAAAATCATATAAAACATCTTACCGAGTACTTAAATAAACATAAAAAAAACTTGAAATAGATCTATTATCCAATATGGTACCTCCTACTGAAGAATTAATATTTTTATCTAAAAGTGGTTTGATATGAATGAGTTGATTGATGAATATTATTAGTTATTATTCAATTATAGTTATTTTAATATAGTTTAATTTAAATTAATTATTACTAAAAGGTCATGTTAGAGTTTAGGCACATAATAATCATATCAAATCATATTATATGATAGCATTTTATTACTTTATTTATTATCACATACACAACTACTATTACGGCACTTTGAGTTAAAAAGTCGACCAGAATTTTTATACTTCCACCGATTGGTTTTACATAATCATACAGACTACTCGACGTCGTGACAATAACTATTCGAAAATATCGAATAGGGGTTTGGTGATTAGATAATGAAATATTATCTAGATTTATACATATTATAATAATAATTTTAAGATTCTGAGCAAAGCGATTAATTTACTTTTACAAGGATATCTTTTATTTTTGTGTCTGAAGACAATTTTTAAGTAGAAAAATATCCTCTGATCATCGACATCGATGGAGGTTCCTTGAAGATAATTTCGATCTATATAGTTAGTACTTTTGGGAGGTAAAAATTGAAAATACTAAATGCTGAAAAACGTCAAAAAAACGCCCAATAAAATTTGTTTTGATTTGTTTTATGTTCTGTAGTGAATTATAACTATTAAAGATAAAGTTCTGAACATTTTCACTGCACTTCTCCTAACCAATGTGAATCTAACAAGATCCCAAACAACGAAATCCGCTCTCCAGTTTCGAAGATCTATCTCACTAAATGAAAATGAAAATGATTTTTTTGGGGCTGATCACAACGACATTTTTCTGGATTCAAATGTTCATACCGCCTGGGAGTGATATCAGATAATAAATTTCTAAAAATTAAAAATCAAGAAATTTTACATGCCTTCCCTGACTTGGCAAGAGTTTTTAAAGTGAGTACAGTATTTATTTTTGAGTTTGTAATTGACTGTTAATGTAGGTATGGTATGTTCAATTTATTTGTTATTTGATAATTATTTAAATTTAAAATGCATAAAATAGGCTACAAATTATTACTTTTACTTATTTGTAAATACATAGGTACCTACCTACGTGTTTTAATTATGTTAACCTTATTTTGTATGAGTAAAAAGTAAAACCCAAAATTCCAAAGTATGTTTTCAAATTTGGAAAAATTAATTTTACAATAGTAAATAAGTTAATTTTTCAAATTTAAAGAGTGAGGGGGCCCCATTCATTTTATTTACACCCGGACCCAAATTGGTGTAGGTGCGGCACTGTGTATGCCATTGTATATGGGAGTGATGAGCCAACGGGTGTGTTTCAGTATTCAGTCATTCTGTTATCTGCTTGTGTATTGGCGAAACTTTATTTATAAATTCTCAGAAGTTAGAACCATTATTTTATAATATTTTAGAAACAAAATTTAAAATCGTGCATACCGAAATATTGTTGATTGCAATTTAGAGCAAACCGCTAGATTAAAAAAAAAGTATTTAGTATTCTAGATTGAAAATATAAATAAAAAGTATTTTTTAAGTATTTAAGATTTTTTAATACAATTAGGTATTCGAATACTTAACAAGACTGCATAAAGTATTGTGATGGCAAATGGCAATGATTAAACATTTTTGATTAATCCATTATTTTTTTTCTCTATAGTTTATTGTTTAAAATATTATACTTTCCTTGATAAAATAACTATTACAAATTTAAAATACCTTTTGGATAATTTTTTTCCAATTAATTTACAAAATACCAAGGGAGAATTATCCCCCTTTACAACTCCCCCACCCCCCAACCTACAGTTTACGACTATGATCCGTAGTTAGTAGTTACTGCCTACTGGTACATATATAGTTAGGAATGTTAGGATTGATGATAGATGATGTCATGATGATATTGAAACAAATAAAAAATTCATTGTAGTATAGATAGTATAGTTGGTATTGCTTTGAGTGTTCGTATAAAACTATTTAAAGAATTAGGACACTAGGTAATAATTATTGTTAGTCGCACGCACAAAAAAATTAAATACTAATTTTAAGGAAAATAATTTCTTTTATGTGAAATTCAAATATGGTATTTAAATATGAATAATAAATATCTTAAGAATTATTATTATTAAACTATTCCGAGTACTAACCTCCTTTGCGTAAATATCCTTTTTTTTAAAAAAAAAAAATGTTTGTTTTCTTCAATTTTTTTTAAAGAGTTTCAGGGTTTTATATGGAACAAAGGATAACTATAGACACTAGATCAAAAATTACATATTATATTTTATATTTTTGTAAGACAATTTTTAAACTTTAAAGTTTTAACACTCTTATTCTTAGAAGTTTAGAACATACATTTTACTAACTCAGAAATTACTCGTTCAATTTTGATTTGTGAATCAAAATTTTCGAAAAAAAAGTTTGCTTAACAATTTACTTATTTGTTTACAATAAAAAACATTGGTTCTCACTTAAATGGTATAAAAATTCTAAGCACCTGGCATTTGTCAAGTATATGAAAAAATGATCCTTACTCCTTATGGCTTATGAAATCAGAACACCAGATAACTACTAAAACATTCCAAGGAATAAGGATCAGAATTTGAATAACTACCGCATAATAGTTTAAATTTAATCTATTCTGTGTACCTACCGGCTACCAACCTACCTATACATATTATTAAAAATGGGTGTGACTGTGTGATTCTTGGTGGATTACCGCTGCGTGAGCTTAATCGCGCCGTTGTGTTGGTCACAGTGGTCTTCAAATTCATCACAGAACATGGAACTATTTTTTTTTTATCACTTATTCACTTATCCAACACGCCGACACCGCAGCCGATAAACGAGTAGACAACTACTAACTAGACAAGTTCAAATCTAAAATTCCAAAATAAAATGTTATTCTCATATTTTTATAAGTGATACCTATAATAATAAATTAGAAAACTGTAGTTATTGTTCTCGAATTCTAGATTTACTTCATTGGGACCTTATATATCTAACGCAATATGATCAGAATACCTAAACCTTTGATCTATGTCAGTGTCTTCGGTACGGTATGTGGTGGTGCTTATTTGATCAAGTACGTTCTTTTATTACCTCCAAGAGTAATAGTCCAGCTATCTGCCAAGTAACCTCACTGTTATTATTTTTTTATTTTCTTCTAGGGAGATGATGTCTGGAAAAGATTACAAAATCAAGACTTCAGCTGCTAACAAAGTGATCATAATCACAGGTGCGAACACCGGCCTAGGAAAAGAAGCTGCCAGGTTGTTAGCCATTAAAAACGCAACAGTTGTAATGGCTTGTCGGGATATGGAAAAATGTGAAAAGGTTAATGCAAACATAATATATTGACTTTGTATTACATGACGTTTTATCAAGTTTGTTGAACTTACATTGATACTCTTGAGCCTGTGCTTTAACTTTTTTCATATATGGTTCAATTATGTTTAATAAGTTCAGAAATTACACTAATAATATAATACTAAATTATAAAATTTTGCTTTATATATTATGTATATTTTTTTTTAATTGATTAATGTCCTTAGAACAGAGTCGAGTTGAGCTAGCACTTATGTCTAGAAACAAACGGCTATACTGTCGAAAATGTGATTTATCATCACAAGAATCAGTCAGAGAATTTGCTAACAAATTCCAGAAAGGTTTGAATTTACATTTTAATGTTTTGTATGTCGTGTATAATAATTAAATTATAACTTTTAAATTAGAATTTAATAGATTGGACGTTTTGATCAACAATGCTGGTGTTATGAGGTGCAGTAAATCCTCAACCAAAGAAGGAATTGAAACTCATTTGGGTGTCAATCATATGGGCCATTTCTTGTTAACCAATTTACTTTTAGACTCTTTGAAAAAAAGCGCCCCCAGTCGAATCGTCAACGTGACAACGCTGAAACACGGAAATAGTAGAATTAACAAAGTAGATTTAAATTCTGATAAGTCGTACAGTGAAGAAGAGGCATACGACCAAAGTAAACTTGCAAATCTTATGTTTACATCTAAATTAGCTGAATTATTAAAAGGTTTGTGAATTAATTATACCCACGTATTTTAAATACAGTAATAAGTCGTCATAATACTAACATTACCTATATAATATGATTTAGGTTTTTGTTGTAAAATAACCTTTAGTGTTTTTAGTTCAAAACGCACTATAATAATTGTTGCTTATATTTTTATTCAATTTACAGATACTGGAGTCACAGTAAATGCCGTCTATCCTGGTATCAGTACAACAGATATTTCAAGACATTTACCGTTTTACAATAGTGTTACTAGATTTTTCATAAAACCAATTGCATGGCTATTTTTGAAATCAGCAGCTAAAGGATCGCAGACGTTGGTTCATGCAGCTTTAGACCCGGAGCTTGAAGACATTAGCGGACAATTAATCAGGTAATTTTCATCTTACTTTTTAAAATTCAAAGTCACAATTTATCAAACTAACCAAAATGCAACTATTGTTTTATTAATATATATTTTGTAAAGGAATGTATTGCTTTTAAATTATGCCAAATATCTATATAGTATTATTATTATTATGTTTTTCTTTTAGTAATTTTAAAGTAATACCATTGCCGTACCGAGCACGCGATCAAAAGACAGTTGAATGGTTGTGGAAAGTTAGTGAAAAATGGACTAAAGTCAAGGAAAATGTAACCTGAACTATGATGTATATTACATTATAATTATTTTAAATACTTTTATAAAATTCGCAGAAACGCTAATAGAAATTAAATTTAAATATTGAATGACAGTTGTTTTGTTTTTATTTTCTACGCAGCTTCTCAGAATCTTGTTTAATCCCATTTGTGTTTGTAGTGTTCTTCTTCCTTCCTTCTTTTTTCAGCCCAAATCTTTACATTAGCTTCACAGTTGGCTAAAAAAAAAAAAAATGTTATTTGGCTCACATATTTGTACTTCTAGTATATTATAAAATATTTAATTACCCGCTTTTTGAATAAGATAAAATACTGGTGAAACAATTACAGCTGCTCCAATGAACCATGGAAACATCCAATGATTATTGAAATGTAGTTTGAATGGAAACTGGACAACCTTAGATGTAAATGTGTACGGGAAAATCATCTTGCGGCTTAATTTTTCATCGGCCATCTAGAGGTAGTAAGTAAAATTATAATGGAGTAGCTATGTTGATATATTAAATATAGTAAGTCTAACTTCTAAGCGTACTGAAATGCTGCTAATGAATTACCTTTACATTACTAAAATATAATGAGATAACAGGTATTAACAAGGCAAAAATATAATCAATAGTGAAAATAATGGACATTGAAAAATACACTGCAAGCTTATACTATATTCTATTTAGGAATAAATCGGGAGGGGGACTAAAACTGGTCTTGGTTTAGTCATTACCTTTTGACCCAAGTAAAACTGTCCAAACATCGTAGGTCATTTTTCCGCTGCTAGGCGGTTCATTCTTATTTGGAATCTAGTATTGTTATATTCTAACGATTTCGGCTAAGCTAACTTCTTGGGCAGAACTTACATTGAGTAATATATATTTAAAAATGACACGGGTGCCAAGTTTTACATCTTTCAACAGTAAGTATTGACACTACCCTATTTATGGATAGAGTGGAATAAGGGGGAGGTGTTCAAAATCTAAATCCAGATAGATCTTTAGGATTTAATTGGGCAATCACGAATGAAAATACCTAGATTCCATTATGCTGGTAAAGCACATTTTATTGGAACCTAACCGTATGTAATATTCAAGAACAGATACTGAGGTACACGTCGTTGCACAACGATTATATTATTCATAGATACGGGACAGAAACGAGCAGTCGAGATACACATAATAAAGTTAAATAATAACATTTCAGTCGGGATTATCGGAAGTGTTCTTTCTTAACATAAATTCAAACAATTTTAATACTCACCGTGGATTGTGTTTTGTCGCAGGCAGCAGAAAAATGAATTGACCTCTGTAATCGGGTAAGTCTCGAAGGGCGACACAAGTCTGTTGTTCCGTGGTATGATGTATGAAACACAGTGGCGAATGGGTATTTATACAATCACCGTGATGGCTAGAGATATTTTCAAGTCCTCGACCTGATTGGTCGTAATATTGATAGTGTTACAAGACCCGAGATAAGACTTGCCGAGGTATGATAGGGACTGTATTACATGTTCCACAATTATTCGTTCCAATAGACATTTGTTCCAAAAACTTTTGTTCCAAAAACTAATTGGAACAAATGTAATTTGATAAAGAGAACATTGGAACAAATGTTTTTGTAGCATAAATCCTTTGGAACAAATATCATTGGAATAAAATGCTTATTGGATTTTGACAAAATATATCGGAACAGAATATATGGCTTACAAAAAAGTTCATTGGAACAAATGTACAAGTGACAATTTCGGAATAAACCATTTGTTCCAAAAATAATATATTCCAATAAATATTTTTTCCCTGCTTTGTAGTTTGTTGATTTGTATTTTGTTCCCATTTCCCGAGCAATGGCGAGCATTGGCATTTGGCGCACGCATAGACATTATATGAATAAAATAGTAGTAATATAACAGCATTGATTATACCACAGTCGAGTTTCGAGTAGGTACACGTGAATAATAATTTTAAATTACCACAAAATATCTAACTAAAATCGTTTTTCTATGTTTAAATGTTATGTAATTCGTCCAAATTTGAACTTAAGGGGCCTTGCACGTGGGTAGAACACGATTCCGTACGGCCCTTATCAGCGTACGGAATCGTACACATGATTCCTGTCGATTCCGTACGTTTTGTACCCAAGAGTTTAGCGCAATGTTGCCAGATTGTCATAAGGTTACGTAGGTATTTGACTATTTGACTTAGTTATAGCGTTTTACGTACGTCTCACTTAAATATAAGTAAGGGTCCAAACATGAAACAGATGATTATATTTTCCCGGCATTATAGGTAGGTACTTAACTTACCTATTAGATAAGTTTTTGTTGTATCCAGGGCCGTAGGTATTTAGAAATGATGTGCCCCGGGGCACTAATTAAATTAGTGGAATATGTGGATGTCCAGTGTTAAAAAAAATGTATAAACACACAGTTTTTTTTATAGTTATTTTATGTTCATATTTGGACGAAATTACATATAAAATAACCAAGAAAAACGATTTTAGTTATTATTTGTTGTAATTTTATAATAATATTAATTGAACTCACCGACATGTATTTAATATGAGTTAAGAACGAATGTGCAAGAAGAAAATTCAAATCATTCTTTTATAAGTTATGTCCTTCCAAAGCTTTCGATTTTCTGTTTTACGCATTTGCATAACGTTGCGGTTTACCATGGCGCCATGCACCACGCTTACTAATTTAATTTTATATTATATTATAATATTTAATTATATTATTAATATTAATTTTTATTAACAATTTTAAACACATTACACATTTATTATTAATAATTATTATATTATAGAGAAAGTATAAGTAGGTATAATATATAATCGTAATATATGCATGATATTATTTGTTTGAAACTGCAATAAAAAACTAAAATAGATACAATGATAACAATTTTTTCTTCTTGCCCGTTTCATAGCAAATGTTTTGAAATCTTCACCAAACCACACAATACATAAGGAAAAAAATATTTTATATAATATTATAATTTCAAAATTATAACCATATGTTAGCTTAATACATAAACAAAATTCGTGAAAATTTAACCCCCCCCCCAAGTTCCGCCAGGAGAGGCAATGGCCCACCCTGGCCCTCCCCTAAATACGGGCCTGGTTGTATCATAAGATAAATTCAAGCATGTCGATTTCATTTAGGGCAGTGTTGGTGGCGGAAAGTAATTTATTATGCTTAAAATATATTATAAATATACACATAATACAATAAAATTATAAATTTAAACGTATTAACTTTACAGATAAATTCTGATCAGCAACTCCGAGCAGCATATACAAACGACGGCGTATTAGGAAATTGGTTAAAACTATTTTTCGGGTTGCCATTCCTACCACCACATGAGATCGAAAATGCATTCGTTGAACTTGTATCTATATGTCAAAATATAGATATAGGATGCTTATTTTCTGATTATATATTACATATATGTAATACGTATACGTACGTAGAAGATGATTGTATATTTCCACCAAAAATTTGGCCTCAAGAGCCATCAGAAAATCCTCGGTAATACTATAATAACTATACACAGGGTGTAATAACTAAAACCTAACTTGTTTTCTAATATTATTTTATTATTGTTAGTACAACCATTATTGATTATACATAGTATATACCTAACCATATTATATACTATGTATAATCAATGGATCGGAGAGTTTCCAATGTTTCAATAGAACATATTAAAATGCGCAGTTTCATAGTCCACACCTTTCTATTCATTTGGTTACCTATATCAATATATATCAGTTCTGAAACAAACACAATAGAAGAGACCTGCACAAAAATGAGATCAGCATCTAAAGGGCGTATCAATAAAATGGCCTTATAGCTGACAAACAACGTTTAGACCACACAATTAATGAATATGAAAAATATTTGATTCATACAAATATAATAAAATATTTGTCAAGTATTTGTAACAAATACTAAGGTATTAAACTATATTTATTTTTATTCACATTTCATATCTTAAAAGTGATTTTAAAAAATAATTTGCCTTGGTAATTACTAATTAGGTTATATCATGGTAAAATTTTTTGAACAACAAGTTCGTATTATTTTTTTTCCAGGGGGGAGACAATTGCCCTATCTTGCCCCCCCCCAATGGGCGCCCATGGTATGTTGTATGCAGTTTACAGATTAATAGATTAATTGTGAAATTGTGAAATTGTGAAATCTCCCTGTAAAATAGAATACAGTAAATGGTTTTGTGTTAGGTGCAAATAGGTGGATAACGACTGTGTAATCTTCCCGTGATGTGCAGTACGGCAAAAGCAGTGTCCTCTGAGCGGAACATTCCCCCTTGGATATGTTGTAATTATCACGGAGAAAAAAACGAACGTATAAGTAAAACATTTATTATTATTGATGAACATTTGAAATTTTATCATATTAATAAGTAATAACAATATTTATGATATGACACTGACAATTGACAGTATTATATTGTTATACCTACATAGTTTGATTAATATAATACCCTACTATACATGGTATAAAAGACACGGTATGTTATTGGATTAGACAGTGACATAATATTATAATAAATTGTTAATTTCTGTTAAATATTTAGCAGGCACGGCGCCAAGGGGGGGCAAGGTGGGGCTCTAGCCCCCCCAGAAAACAGATCAGCCCCCTCGCCAGCCCCCCCACTGAAAAATATGTACGATATAATTAATGTTTGTTGCATACAGTTAAAAATATTTTTAGTTGACTTATTATTTTAAATATGTTTATGTTTGATTAACACAATACTATTGTGTAAGGAGTTGGTATTCGTACCTACCTACTTATATTAGTTTAGTAATTAGCATGACAAATTTCTTATTTCAAATAATTAAATAATTTATTCAATTTTCTTATTTTGTTATTTTTATAATCTTATTTGTCATGGTAATTAGTTCACATATTACTTGATAATTAATAAAAAAATATTTCTTAAAGTATCTATGTTTTAATGTATATATATGAACTATTTTAACCACCAAAATTTAACAAAAAATATAAAGTAGGTACTTCAGTAGTCAATACATACACTACTATGCAAATACCAATTTAAAAATGTATTGAATTAAAAATTTAAAATGTACTAGTTAAATATAAGGTAGGTAATCAAAAGTTTTTATTTAAAACAAATTGTATTCATACTGATATCAGTGCAATTGTATACATTTTTGTTAACTTTTTCAATATTAAAAGATTTTCAATCATTTACTGTATGGTGCATAAACAGATATTCTATAAAAAATCAATATTTAGCTCATAAAGAAATTATTATTTTTGTATATCATATTATCATTATGAATATAGTTGTTGAAGGTCTTAGGTCTGTGATTAAACATTTTCTTACATATTACATAAGGTACAAAAAAAATATTTGATATTATTCTTAAAACATTTTTAACTATTCAAAAGTTTGTAAATATTATATGTTTAGACGT